TCATGATCTTAACTACACTCAACACGCACCACAGCAAGCACGCAGAAATAGGCAACGTAATATCATTTGGTTCAACCCACCATTTAGCATGAATGTCAGCACTAATATAGGGCGTAATTTTCTTAACCTTATCGACAAGCACTTTCCTTCGCACCACAAGCTGCATAAGATCTTTAACAGAAATACAGTAAAAGTAAGTTATAGCTGCATGAGCAATGTTAAGTCTATAATCACTAAGCACAATGCACATATAGCTAGGAAGAACAAGGCACAGGGCAAGGGCACTGTCAATTGCAGTTGTTCGAAAAACGCAACATGCCCACTTCAGAAACAATGCATGACTAAGGACATAGTATACAAAGCAACAGTCACAACAAGCAACCCTAACACGATCATGAATTATATTGGCATGACATCAACTACATTTAAAGAGCGTTTGGCTAACCATAACTATACTTTTGAGCACAAAGAGCACTCAAACAAAACTGAACTTTCGAAATATATTTGGACATTGAAAGATAGCAAGAAAGATTTTAATATCAATTGGCAAATTTTGAAACGCGCTATTTCGTATACGGGAGGATCAAAACGATGTAATTTATGTTTAGAGGAAAAATTTTGTATTTTGAAAGAAAACCAAAACCGTTCACTCAATAAAAGAATGGAAATTATATCTACGTGCAGACATAGGAAGAAATTTCGCGTAAACAACGCAAACAATACACTCCCACAATTCGATTAGGCATTTCCGCGTAAACAACGCAAACAATAGATGAATGCATGCTTTGTTTCACCCACACACCCCCACATTCCGGCCAAAACACATATAAGCAGCCCTATTTTCGAAACTTGTCATACCGCCTGATGATTCTTTGCTGATGAAACAGACTGTTGCGGAATTTTGAGGTAAGCGAAATTCTATATATATATATATATATATATATATATATATATATATATATATATATATATATATATATATATATATATATATACACACATGAGACAAAAATAAAGTTTTTAAAAATTTGGGGTTAAGTCTAAATACTGGACACAATCAACCACACTACGTACGGCTGTAAAAGAAATATCTAGAACATTTGTTACCCTCAATATTCGCGAGAAATACGTTGTATTTTCAAAAGATTCTGCCTCAGCAAGACTGGCCATCTATGACTATAAATATAATATCACAGAGATCAGGCAGAGACCATTACCAGTGTTTCCACTCTCCAAAAGGTAAGGGCCTTCCAGGGAGGGGGGGGCACTGGCGGCAATTTGCGCCGGCCCCCCAGTTTAAGGGGGACCCCAAACTTTTCAATTTTTGCTATAAATAATGGTATAACACATTTATTGATCGAAAAAAAGGGTCTGACCCATGTTGTAATAGGAATTTGTGGGGAAAAAGTTTTTTGAACCTTAGTTTAACTCGTGTTCGACCAGAAAACTTTTTTGACCCTTTTTTAATGTCCGGAAAAAGTTTTCACCCCCTCCCCCGCTCGCCAACCTTTTGGGGAAAGATAGGGCCCCCGAAACAAAAATTTTCGCCAGGCCTCCGAATTTCTCTGATAGGCCCTGATTATCGTAATCGCCATTTTATATGGAAATAATTATAAGTCGATGGCATTACGATGTCATGTTAGCAATGTTAGTATGGCCACGGTTGTCAGTGCACGAAGTAATTATTGAAGACAATAATTTTTTTTTATAAAACCCCTGTCGCGAATATTGATTTTTAAGCTTCGGCCTTCGCATAGCCTGCTCGCCTTCCGAGGGGCCCGCCGCGCCGTTCAAAAGCGTACGAGATTTTGAAATTCGGTGGTCTCACAAACTATTAATCAAATATGATCTTTTGAAGCTCAAGGTTGTGACTATTTCCACAAAAGTGGCTTTATCGGCCTTTACGCGTCACCAAAACAAACACATTCACTATGCGGAACAGAAGGTGACGATGGATGTGGTAAATCCCATATCAAATGGCATGCATGCTTTGAAACAACCGGATGGCAATCGGGCAATCGCAATGCGGCCAATGCCAATAAATGGCAATTTTAATTCAGCTATAATTTGTAATTATGAAACATAATGATCTATAGTTAAAACAAAGTTTCATATCTTATAAGTTACAAAATTAATTCACCTACTGTATAATAATTTTAACATTCAGCACTGAAATGAACTCTGAACAGCATGCGTCTTAAAGTGCCCCTGACACAAAATTTTTTTTCAGTCTATTGAAAGTACTCATTTAGTATAGTGCTCTAGCGAAAGAATTTTTCGATTTCATCAAAACGAAAAACTTTTAGAGCCGTTTGAACACGCAAAATTTGGGCTTTTGGTTGGCAGGCGTCCGTGTTCGAAGGAAACTGGAACGAGCGATTTTTGTTACGTCACGCAAGTGAGTCAGCGTATATTCTTTTATTCGACTATACAAGTACTATGAACTCTCGGCGGATATATAAGTAGATTTGTGATCGAAAAAGATATGCCTTTTTACTGTGTTGCAGCTAAATGTACCAATAAAGTATGTTTAAAAGATGGAATAAGTCTACACAATATTCCATACTTCAATGACGAAAACGCGGAAGCTAAAAGAAGAACTAGTATGGGTTGATTTTGTATGCGCAAAGGGTTTGTTTGCGCCGTCAAAGACTTCGACTATATGCTCGGATCATTGTAGAACAGAGGATTGCGAGAGGCATTTTTTTTCGTTGCCGGGGCTCGGCAAGCCTAACTATCTGAAGCTAATAAAGGCTGACGATGATTTGCTTTGTTTTGATGATTCAATTTGCAATTGTATTTTGGTTTTGCGGGCCAGCTAAAAATATAAATATTTTGCAATACCGAAATAAAAGATGCAAATCTGAAGACACAAGCTTGAAAATATGACTCTAAATAGTGTTTTGGATTCCGGTTCGAATAAGATTATTGCGAAAAAGATATGTCCAAAGGGGCCGAAGTTATGGTCGGCTAAAGGTATGGCTACTTTACATTGTTCGAGACTAATTGAGTAATATAATGAATTATGACACCGCTTGACCTCTCAAAGGTCATAAATAGCTATTTGACTACAATTTGACTAAAACTATATTTGACTAAAACTATCATTGGAAATAAGGAGATTTTGTTTCACTCAATCGAATGGTAGTAATTTTGTCTTTATAGCATGCACCGAACCGGAGATATGAACCTTGCAAAGTCATAGAACGACACGTTAGTAGGAAGCTTATTAAAAATGCGCCAAATCTGAGACATGGCGCGACTAAAAAACAATCGCTAACTGATAAATGGGAGACTAGTTTTACTTTGTGTTTCTCGTATCCCTGACTTTGTTTACCAAGAACAGTTTTTATCGGTGAAGTGAAACTGTGATAATAGCGGCAGTTTTTCGTCACGTCCGCGTCGCAGATTTGGTAATATTAATGATACCACTAGAGACCTGACGAGATGCAGCTACAGATCAGCATCTTCCAATATATCATATTAACCAGGTATAAAATTCGCTCCAGAATCATCGGACTGATTCTGTTGACATAATACTTTATAGAACTTAGAATATAAAAAGTTAAACACTTCAGTGAACAAAACATTCGAGCTGATTAAAACAGATAACTTAACAGACCATCAAGACTCGACTCCCTTGCGTGACGTCAGAATAAATGCTAGTGCCAGACTTCTGTCGCCGACGGCCATTAGCCAAAAATATTTGGATTCAAACGGCTCTAAAATTTTTTCGTTTTGATGAAATCGAAAAATTCTTTCGCTAGAACACTATACTAAATGAGTACTTTCAATAGACTGAAAAAAATTTTTTGTGTCAGGGGCACTTTAAGTATAATACACGAAGTATTCAGGCAGGCGAGCGACGCGCGAAGATGCTCTTCCCATCAGCCCCTTCGCTCGTCATACGCGCATTTTTTACAACGAGACGCCTGGGTACGAGGCAGTGAGATTCCCCAAATCCTGATATTTGTCTGCTCAGTTACCGTTTCTTCCAGGTGTATTTCAACGAAACAAAGGTTTTTTAATATCTCGAAAAAATAAAGCTCAGTTTCAAATTTCGGTCTGAATTTTTGCCAAAGGAATTCGTAATGAGACGTTTGCTATTATTTTTAAATCATGCTATTAACACAAAACATTTTGGTTAATTAAAACATTGTCTTTCATATAATTTTCATTTGAAAAACAGCAAGTATTGCAACACCTCAAATTGCACGCATCCTTTGTACTCAGATTACATGTACAGTTGATATCAAATTCCCTAACGACTTTTGAATTTTGAAGCTCTTTAAGCTTATAGCTTTTAAAATTACATTAGACCTCCCAGCCTTACATAGGATTTGACTTAAACAATATACAGTTTTTGAATCCAGAGTGCGTAAGTAGAGTGCACCAATACTCAATAGGGCAAAATTTTAAAAAAACCGTGTCCAACTGTCTGTGTTTGAAGTTCAGAGTTCAAAGCTGTAGACACTCCTGAAGACACTCTGTTGTGTTATATCAGCGACGTTTTTATTCGCCCACGCAAAACGATTTACTTCTGTATAAAAGATAAATAGTCGTTCAATGACTTCAATCACACTTCACGACAAAATAGATTTAATCTTTACGCTATCGCACATTTCTCTTTAGGGTCTTTTATAGTAGAAAATAGTACGACACTGCTGCATGGCTTGCTGTGATGATATTTTAACACAATATGTATATTGTCAACAATTTTGATTACTTCGCGCATTAGCGTCTCATTGTGAGATAAGTAGCAGCACATGCAGTTCTCTAAAAAAGTAGTGAATAAACTCGTTGAATAGCAACTGAAACAGGCGAACTTTGCACAATTAATTGGGCTAGGATTTCGCAGTGCAAATACTGAACAAGCCCTGCTGGACCTTCAGGCAGTAGCATTTAAAATGTTGTGAAATACTAAGATAATAAAATACATTTGCCGTTCAGTACACTAAAGTACAATACAATACAATACAATACAATACATTATTAGTGCACTACAAATATGTTCTAGTCAGCACAATGACTGATTTCCTAAACCGTGGAAGATTTACTAAAAATAATGAAATAGCACAAATTAATATGTTATACCTGTGTAAATTCCATGGAAAAATCAGATGCGAATGCAGCAAGTTGATGATTTCTTTAGCTCTAATCGATTGACCTTTGCACAGAAATTTGTTTGTAAAATAAACGAAACAGGTTGAATTCAACGATTATGAAGGCAACGATGCAATTTGAATTTCTGCGCACGATTTTGATTGGTTAAAAAGCTCACTGCTGTGATGTCAAAGGTGTATGTTTGTCGTTTGTTCAAATTTCGCTTTGGTTTATTGGCGTTACAGAATCAAAGCAAAAACGAAACTGTCGATAATATGCTAGGTTGCCACACTAACAGGCAATTCTGTTTTCAGCTGAATTTTATATGCACGAGAATGCCTCGTCCTCTGAAAGGCTTAAAACTTATGATGCAAAGTATGCGGAACTGCACCGATCCGGATGCATGCAGGGCGCTTCCTGGTTGCATGCCTAAAATAATGACAGGCTTAATCAGCTAATACGTTGCCACCCAATTCAGCCTCATATTCATTTTATTCAATATCAACTGTTCCATACTGTACTTATACTGTCATGACAGATTTACAGCGTTATAACTAGGCGTGTGAGTTATCCAAAAAATGTAAATTATAGGTGGGAACGGGATTATACAAAGAAAGTAATTAAAACCACACCCAGTCTAAGTTCGGATCCCAAGATATTTTTAGATCTATATCAACTAGCTATAGTACATAGGGTTATAAAGGTTCAAACCTATTTTCATATAATGCATTATCGGGTATTTACTATGAATATATACATGCCATTTTTATCTTTTAGGCTATGAGTTGAAACTATAGCCTCCTCCGCAGGCATCGCCTTTAGATTATCGGGCAAAATTTCATGCAGGCAAAAAAATTAATAGTGACTTTCTAAAGTAAGTACCACGAGATGCCTGCGGAGGATGCTAAGTTGAAACGTTGCGTCGTGGTCTGAAATTACCAGTGCACGCTTAAAAGGGGAGAGGGACGGTCTTGACTCGTCTTGTGCTGTCAGTAAAGTCATTATATTAATGATTTCAGCAAATTCACATAATTTAAGCCACAAGACTGACAATGAAATTTTTAAATCAACTTGCCCATTGGTCAGACTGAAATCGTATACCTTTGGCCAGCTTTGGCGCCTAGAAACTGTATATGGCCCAACCCTGCTTGTTTTCATTTATTACAGGGGTGTGTAGGATTAGAAACTCCATCATGTTGAGAGATGATAACAAGTACAGATAATATGTGATTAATAACAGTATTATGTGATATGCGCTAAACATATAAGTGAGTCGGTTTACAACTTTTATGGAAGAAATAGAAACAACTATAAAACTTCAAACGAAAGACATAATGTTCACCTTGTAGGCACATATTAAACAGAATAGTAAACTTTTTATTATATATTTTTGGCTGACGGCCGTAATTTGAACAATTATCTATGATTGGAGCATAAAATATATTTTTGTAACCTTTAAGATCACATCATAATTCTCACTGTTTCAGTCCCTACGAGATCTTCTTAAATATCCATACGATATTCCTCAATATCTTGAAGCCTATAAAGTAAATGGAATGAAGAATTAGTTGTACAAAGCTCGTTTAGCTAACAAAATGGCAATTCGGTTGCAGCAGCTGAGATCTGGCTGTCACCAATGGACCATTTGCATTATATAGACTAAATTTTGATCTAGACAAAAATTTCATCACAGCTTGAAAGAGCATCACAAAATTAGTAATATTCCAAAGATTCGTTGCGAAATGTTGTAAAATGCGGATAATATAGCCCTGCGAAATTTGCAATTTTCAGTCACTTTGTATTACAAACGGGAAATTACAAAATGACTGAAAAACGGCAAACTTCGCAAGGCTATATTATCTGCATTTTACAACATTTCGCAATGAAAGTTTGGAATATTACTAATTTTGTGATGCTCTTTCAAGCTGTGGTGAAATTTTTGTCTAGATCAAAATTTAGTCTATAATGCAAATGGTCCATTCGGCAAAAATATTTTACACTAAAAATGCGATACAAACAATACACTTACTGATAGTTGGCTACACTATCTGTAACCCATTCAGCGGATACAGGAAACGTACTGTATCTTTTGCATAGATCTAGACAAACCAAATTCATGTCAGTTTTCAACATTACCTAAACTGCGTAGCTGGTGGTTAAAAGGGATTGGCGCGTGCCTGATCTCCCAACTCTTAAAATCATCAGCTATGTATGAAGGTAATGAAGCTAACACTTATAGCTAAAACTATACACAATTGTCTGTTTAGCTTTAATATAGATACAGAGACGACATGCATATAATGTGATAACAGCCCACAAAGTTTGCCAATTTGGTTAATATTTAGACAAAGTATAGGGAAAATTAGCTCAACTAAAGCCTGCCGCACACGAGAGTAACTTCCTAAGCTAACCGCCTCGAGTGGCGGCTAGCTCAGCGATGCATTTTCACCGCACACGTTGGGAAAACTTCTCAACAACGACATAATTGACAAAGTCGTTTGCATTTTCCTCCATTGTGTTCACAGTAACATGAAGACACTATGCCTATGCCCTCTATGGTTTCTCATTGGCTAATTGAATTGATTCAAGCAGCTCAGCACTATAAGCTCACAAGATCTGCAGACCAAAAATATCAAACACGATAGATATTTTCTTCAAGGCCTCGAGAGGTCAAATCCTCACGAAAACTATCCGCACACGAGAGAAACTAGTGCTGAGCTAGCTGCCACGCGAGGCAGCGGTTAACTCAGCAAGTTGCTCTCGTGTGAGGCAGGCTTAAGGCCGGCTGCCTCAAACGTCGCGCTTCTCATCTGCCGAACGCATTAAAAACAATAGATAGTCAGCTGAAATGCCTCATTATCTATTGTTTCTAATGCGTTCGGCATGCACAAGAGAAGCGCAACGTTTGAAACAAGCCTGTAAGGCTCGCACCGGAAGGTTTTGTGGCTTTGAAGAGCGAGGGAGACATTATAACACATTTGATGTAATCATGTTGGTTTCTCCTTTTTCTTTTAAGAGAGCTGTGACTGGTTCAAAGAAATTTTGTCACTGAATTGACTGAAATGATTACATCCATGAGAGATCATGGCCTTCGACCAATGAAATTAAAAGGCAAAAACTCTGATTATAATTTTATCAATATTCAATAACCTAATATACATAACCGTGTTGTATAGTTACCATAACTTCTATTACAAGGTCGAAAAACCCATACCAGTACCTTTAATTTGCAATCCTGTTTTTTGTGATAATGCTAAATCACAGATTACAATCAGGTCAGACATCTAAAATTATCCAATAAGAAAAAGGAAATCGGATTTAGTACAATTGATTTCTTTATCAATAACGATACATGATCTATCTATACACGCTTTTCATAAATGGCTGCCGATTAAAAATTATTTGATGTGCATATAAATTGGCCCAACTAGCCTCGTACTCATGTTAGGATTTCAAAGGAATTTCTACCCAGAAACGAGGCTAGTTGGGCCAATTTAAATGCACATAAAAGAATTTTTAATCGGCAGCCATTTATGAAAAGGGTGTATTCGGTGGTAATTAAATGTTGTTAAAATTAAAAGCATCAATAGTTCACGAGGAAAAGACAAGGGAAATCACTACCGTGTCGATGGGTTTATACAGGGTGTCCCAAAAAACCCGAAAACTATTGAAATAAATGTATTGTTAGTGAATTTGAATGCCTCGGCACTCTGCTGAACCCAAACATGCATCAAAGCTTGACGTAAGTAAATTTTATGCATATAAAGAAACCGTTTAAGAAGCTGTTTTAAATTCCCAAGGGGAGAAATTCGTGCGCTTTACAAAGATATTTTAATTTCTTAATAAGTCGATATTTAATAAATGCACCCTTGTCAATATTTTACGCATCTTTGCGTTCAGCTTAGTGCTAGGGCATTCAAATTTTAACAATACGTTATTTCAATGGTTTTGCGGTTTTTGGGACACCCTGTACAGCGTGTATAAAAAAAGTACATATTCTATTGAATTCATCTGACAAGATATACAGGGCCGGTGTCCCAAAAAAACCCCAAAAGCATTGAAATTAACGCATTGTTAGAACAATCAAACACTTTTTTAACACACTGTACTTTTTTGTACACACTGTACTGTACAGTGTCTGTACTGTACAGTGTCTGTACTGTACAGTGTGTGATAAAGAATCATGTTAATTTATACATAAACTTCCATACGTGAACTTACAAAAATCGTGTTTTTACACAAACATTTCCGTGCTTTATCTGATATAAGACACTCGGTTGTCGCCTCGTGTTTTATGTCTGATAATGCACTCCTGCTCGTGTTTTACATACGGTAGTTGTAGAGTAATTTAAATAGAATTGTCAGCAAACAAATATACAGATAACGCAAGTGCAGATTCTAATTATCGGTCAATCACTACTATAAATAAATGTATATTTATTAAGTGTTTGACAACTGATAAGAAGGATGTAGTTTTTACACATACCGTACTGTTAGCCTTTAACAATTCATGGCTAAAGTCGATTATTTTACCTCCACAATATCGGACCAATTGACAGACTTGATCTACGAATAGGAAACAGTTTTATAATTTACCATAGACTCACATTTTATGCTTAAAAATTCAGTCCACTTTAACGCTATCCTCTGAAGTGGCGATGCCGTATTATAAGCATAACTAAGGCTGCATAAGCTGTAAGTTGCCCTCTAGTTGCACAGAATGGACCTTGCTATGGCTTACCTGGTGATATTGCTGGATTAAATTCGCCAAAACAGACTACTGAAACACCGTCAAACAGCTGAGGTCCCTGAGAACATAATAATTTAGTTCATTTGAAAGAACTCTTAAAACTATATATTAAACTCTGTTATACAGATTGTTTATATCTTGCTTAGTTTTCAAAATATTTCGACTGAAAAAAATGAGCTGTTCGCCATCTTGGATTATTGAGGATATGCATGTTGCGTCAAGAGAGGGGTTACGCTCGTTTTTTATCTTGAGAGTAAGTGATCAACATGGGTCCAAAACTTCGTTTCTGGTTGCTGTCTGAAATTTAGAAATTATACTCGGTCATTTTAGAGTAGTTTCATGTGGATAACCCAACGCCGGACCTCATCAAAACTATAGTTAATGAGGTCAAGAATCAGTCAAGATGGCGGACAGCTCATTAATTACGGTCTAAATATTTCGAGAACTAAGCAAGATACGACAAATCGGTAATAGAGTTTAATATGATGCTTGTGATGTTACTCTGAGTGTATATCCACACTGGGCAAGCTTGAAAAAATATGCCTGACCACGATGGGAATCGAACCTACGACCTTT